AACAGCATCGTGGCAAAGAGACAAAGCTCTTTCGGTTCACTCGGTCACATCCAGACGTTGAGGTTGGGGTCCCCAGCCTCAGGTCTGCTTGGCGCTCGCTGATGTGTGCTGTGTGACAGTGACTGAGTGGGGTCAGGAGACGGGTAGCCTGGCTCTGGGCAGCTCGTTACCACGCAGGAGTAGAAGTGAGCCTGGAAGAGAGCCGGCGGTGGGCAGGCTGTGATAAGCACCCTCTGGGCACCACCTGAACTGAGCAGGAAGAGGGCAGGCTGGGGTTCCTCACGCCAGGGAGGAGAGCCCCGAGGAGGGAGACCTGGCAGGGTGTGGGGGGCCAGCTCTGGTAGGGTCTCTCCTTTTCCTGCTGTGCCTCCTGCCAAAGCAGTGGGTGACTTCCCCTGGGTGAAACCAGGAGCCGGGACAGGACAATCAGGCCTTAAGTGTTTCCTGGAAGAAAATGGAAATCCTATCACTGTGTACCCCACCCTGTGCTGAACACTGGTATATCTCAGATAAAATTTAGAGCAGTTGAGGTCCTGGGAGGCAGGAAGCCTGGTGCTGCAGGCCTCCCCACCCCCTTTTCCTCCAGTCTGTTTCCTTGGTGGGAAAGAGGGCGGGGTAGGTGGGGGAGAAACAAAGTCCACCTCAGGTCCTGAGAGGGGGGTGTGGGGGTGCAGCGTGGGGTCCCGTGTCACACTGGAAGAGAGAATGGCGTGCCCTGATGTTGTGTGCGCCCGCACTGCAGGAGTGGAACATGTACGGTGAAGAAGAGACGGGACGGGGAGGCTGGTCTTGGACATGGGAGTGCCCCATGTCCCAGCCTCTGCTCAGACCTTTTTTAGGGGAAACACCCCAGGCCGGGTGTGGCACTGGCACTAGAGGTTCTGAGGGCCGGGTGTGGCAAGGCACTGAGGTGGACTCCAGACCCCTGAAGGTCATTGTGTGATGGGAGCTGGACTTGGCCTGCCCATGTGCGGTGGCCAGTTGCTGCGAGTCGAGCCCCCAGGAGCTGAGGTGCTGCACCAGGCAACCAGGCCACTGAGACTGAATCCTGGCTCTGCCAGGGACTCGCCACCTGGCTGTGAATGCGTTCCTTATAACACGCAGCACTGAGCAGCTGAGAAATTCGACCGGTTATCTAAGGTCACAGAACTGATGTGAAGGGTTTTCAGCATCTCGGTGTGACGCTAGGGCCCACAAGTGTGTTGTCTCCACAGTTTCCCTGTGATAAGACAGGCAGGAACACACTGCGTGAGAGGGATGAGCCTTGAGCGTCAGCTTATTCTAGTTTCCTGAATGACAATCCACAATATATGGAACGGGTCTGTACTATGCAGACGGGTGTCCCATTATTCTGGAGGCTCCATCAGGTGCTAGCAGGATGGACTCCAGAAGGGTAGAGGCCGATGGCTAAAAGCTAGGCAGTGCAGGGGGTATGCGTGGGCACATGGAGACCTGAGAAAGCTGGAGGTGATTGATTTGGGCAGAGAAAGGAGCCTAAATCTACTCACCTCCTCCCTGTTTTTCTCCTTCCCTCTGCAGTTGATTTTCTCCCTTCCATTTCCTTCTTCACCTCCATAATCTGGCCTCTGCTCACACTCTTGCCAATGTCCACAGTGCCAGTCTGATGCCAGTCAACAGCCTTCCTCGTGCCTTTCCTTCCCTCCTCAGCAACCTAGGCCCCCTTCTCTTTGAAATCCTCCTCCTGATTGTCTTGATGCCCCTCTCCTCGTTTACTTCCTCCATGGTGCATGTGTCTGCTGGTTCTACCTCTTGCCCCCGGATATTGATATGGTGGGCCCTGGACCTGTTTCACATCAGTACATTCTTACAGGGAGACTAACCCTTTCTCAAGGCTTACCCACAGCCTCCATGTGGGATGAGGAACTCCCGTCTTCAGCCCCAAGCACTGGACCCACATACCTATCCATCTGCTGGATATTTCCACCTGCATATACTTATGGCAGTTTGAATTCAAAATGAGCCCAAGGGACTCACTGCATTTCCCTAATAGCTACTATGCCAGGGGTTAGCATCACCAGTGAAGGTTGCCCAGATCTCCAACGCCTATTAGTGACACCTAGATGCCATCTCCTTTCAGCATCTCTTCTGCCTTTCCTCCCCACCACCATATCCACTGTGCAGGACAGCCTTTCATCCTAGATCCTGGGATTCCTTCCGCAGACTGCTCCACTGCACCCTTACCCAGATGCCAGAGAGGTCTATGTGCAATACAGAGCAGCACGGTCACTTCCTGTTCAGAAGTCTTCTCCCACTGTGTTGGGGAGAAGGCCTGCACTTCAGAGCATTCCACTCAATATTCCAGCCTTCTCACTTGCATTCCAGCCATGGGCCAGACTCACTTGCCTTCATCTTCATGAATCCTCGTAATCCTTTTAGCCCTTAAAACTCAGCTTGAGAGTCACATACTCCAGGAAGCCTTCCAGATACCCCAGGATGAGCAGGGCCCCTCTCTGTGCTCAACAGCCTTGTATTCTATGTATAATCTCTCTCTTTACACACAGCTCTCTCTTTTTACATCACATTGATGTGGTCCTGATATCATAGAAGTTTTGAAGTTAGGGACCGTTATTATGCTTTTTTTCCCCTACAATACGAAGACATATTTGCTAAAATCAAAGGCTCTGGGAAGGATCTTTGAAGCAGACCCTAGAGAACACTTCAGGAAAATGGGCAAAGATCCTGAACGTTGAATACACAGTATCCTTTCTCTCCTTTCCCTGATAGAACCCCAATTTTGTTCAGGACGCAGCTCTTGCATTAATTATACGTCTTAGCCTCCTTCTCAGAGGGTAACCTTATGAACCCGTTTGAACTGACAAGACTTAAGAAAATGTGCATGGCATAGTTTTGCTTCTCTGATGTGAGCACTCTACCTGTTTTCTTTCACTTCCCTCATGGAGTTAGGAGAATAAGAGCCACCGAGCAAGGAGTTTTAAAGGAGCCAAGTCACGATCGATAGACTACTTGCCAACAGACTTATGAGAAATAAATTTCACTGAAGCTGCTTTGGTTGTGCCTCTGTCAAAGTTAGCTGAATTCACTTTGTAAAGGCAGATGAAGGCATATGACCATCTGTGAACACGGAAATAGGCCGCTCCTTTGGAGGTGGGAGGCAGAGAGCAAAGTTAAGGGAAGAGATCAAGATGAGGGTTGGAGAACTTGCCTGTCCCTGGGAGTCTACCAGAGGGCTAGAGCAAGGCCTGACACAGGCCGTGGAGAAGAGACCCAGTTATGGTGGCTCTAATGTGTCTGTGACCTTGGCCTCTTCTGGTGTCTACTTGGTTGAATTTTTGAAATAAGACTGCTGGAATAGATAAGTTTTTAAACATAATGCCTCATGCCTGGGTTTTGGAATGAGACATAGCTGGATTCTGGTCTAAATTCCATCACTAATTAGCTGTGCGGCTCAGTCACTTTTTAAGCAATGTCTCTAGCATAGTAAATAAAATCCAGACTGTGATGGTACCTGTAACTGTGGTTGCAATGCTGGAGTTTCAGTGGAGTCCTGTGAAAGGCCCCGCACAATGCACCATGAGTATTACAGCCCTGTGCCCTGCACACACTGAGAGGCTCTGTGGTGGTAGCTGTCCTTGTGTTCCAAGTTCTCTAGAGTGATAGCCCTGAAGGTTCATTCTCCTCTGGGCTGGTGCTGCTGCAGGGCTCTGGAAAGTGTCTCAGAATGTCCCCAGCTCTGCAGTAAATAAAGCGGAAGATGGTTACCAGTAGCTTTTCCTGGAGCACTATAGGCTGCTGTGTCCAGGGTCCTTGGGACCCAGCAGGTGAGTAGGACAAGTACAGGATAGGACAGCCCAGACGAAGTCCAGGAAGTCATCAGACCTGGGTTAGAAATAAGAAACCTAGTATCTTAGCCAAGCTTCCAGAGTAGGAGGGTCACTTTGCCATGGGAGCAGGGTGAGCTTGCAGGTTGGCTCAGCACGGGACTGCAAGAATTAGGGAGCTGGAAAAATACTTCCAAAACTGGATTCCGTGCTGCAGCTGCTTTTAGCTGAACTTAAGACGTCTCTTGAAACTCCTCACCTTTTCTCTATTGGAAAAAATCTTGGCAAATAAAGTAAAATAAAGCTGCTGAGAAGGAGGTCTGTGGGGTGCGTCCCATTTGTCCACGCTCCCCCCCCCACCCCCCCAACACTCCAGGGCAGAGCACACCGCGGACCAAACCTTGCTGACACTAGACAGCGCCTGCAGTTTACCTTGGCTCCAGGCCAGAGAGTCCAGGCCCAGCCCGGGGCGGCCCCCATCTTTCCACCTTGTTACCCGCCCCTTCTCCAGCGCAAAGAGCAGTTTAAATATAAATCAGTTCTCGATACAAACAGAGTCTCGACGAGTCTTGGAGCTATCACCGGAACTGAGAGCCCAGGTTTTCAGGCGAGTGCAAACAAGCAGAGACCGGCTCCGTAAATCTCCTCAAGAGGACCGGGAGGGGCGTGGGGGCTTCCCTTCCTTACAGAAATCCCGGCTTCCCTCCAGCCCCGGGCTCCTGTTGGCTCCCCGGCACTCCTCTGTCCCTCTTCCGCCGCCTCCTGGCCCCGAGGGCAGCCAGCTCCTCTCCAGTCCGCTCGCAACCCGCTTCGCCAGCCCCCCAGGGCCCCCGCGGCCTCGGCCGCCTGGGCCCCTCGGGTAGTTACCTCCCCTTCCCCAGGCGCGTCACCTCCTCCCCACCCCTCCGGCACCCCCCCCCCTTTCCGCCCCAGGCAGGCGGGACCGTTGGCCCCAGTCGAGTCCCAGGAGCAAAAAGTCAGCGGCGGGCTAGAACGAGGTCCAGCGGCGGCCACCGCGTCACACCTGTTGGAGGGGGCGGCCCGCGGGGCGGGGCGGGGGCTCTCTGCGCCCTGAACACCCAAGGAAGAGGGAGGAGAGAGCGCGTTTCATCATCGGCGCTGCCGCCACTTATAAAACTTGTGGGCGCGCAGTCTCGCGCTCAGTCTCGGCGATCCGTGCCTCCTGCGGCCACCGCCGCCGGCTCGCCACCGCCAGCCGCTCCGACCAGCCTCGGGCGCCCGCCCCGTCGCCATCTCCCTTCGGCCTCCACCGCGCCAGGGTCGCCGCCCCTAGCGGGTACCGCCGCACGCCCGCCCGCCCGCCACCGGCCTCGCTGCTGCCCGCTGCCATGGGGCCCTTGCCCAAATTCGGCGTGCGCCAGGGCAACGACGTCTCTTCTGGCCGAACCGGCGGCTGTCGCGGTTCTATCTTTAACAACATTAAGGTGAGGCCACAGCTGCGGGCCGGGGTTGCAGCGCGCGGCGCAACTTTGGCGGGCGGCGGTAGCCCGGGAGGCGCCGGGTGCACCGGGCACCCTCCTCGGCTCTTGGGGTGGCGCTCCGGAACGCATCCCTGCTGTCGGCCCACTCCGAGGACCAGGGCGAGGGCAGCGCGTGCTGTGTGGTGTGTGTGTGTAACTGTGTGGGTGTGCGCGCGCGCGCCCTCGTCAGGATTAGAAACCGGACGATGCAGTACTTTTTATTGGGCCAACTCTATTCCGACAGTCCTCACACACTAGCTGAGTGAATCCTGTGCTTGGTTGGGAAAGCACATCTGCCGGACATTCTTTGGGTCTCCTGAGGTGGTTACTTTCTCAAAGAGGTGTCTGCCCTGTGCCTGGTGGAGATGCGCTGTGGTCCCTAGGAGATGAGGGAGCACAGGGCCGTTCTCATTGCTGGATGGGTGGTAGAAGGGATGTTTTCCTTCCGTGAGCTTTCCTGTTCCCAAGCACAGCAGCATCTAGTTTCTCCTACCTCTCTGAGCAATGTTCCAAGTTCTCTCCAGGCTGGCAACCAGCTCTTTGTGCGTGGACTAGCTTTCCTGGCTTGGAATTGGCCCCAGGAAAGCAGCGGGTCCTCAGTTGAGTAATGTCTAAGCAGGTAGCTCTCACCTGGCAAGTTTTGGGAAGTGGGTGAAGAGAAGATGAGCTGTGTGGTGAGCAGGCTTATCTCTCCTGGGGGTGCTTCCTACCCCCTCTTCTGTCCAAGATGACCTAGACGGTCAGCAACCAAGATCTGCCCCTCCTGAGAGGGTAAGGTCTTGTGATGAGGGTCTGGGGTTTGCAAAGCCCACTCTGGGATGTCTAGTGGGTCAGGTTGGGACTACGTGCAGGGAGGTTGTTTCCAGCAGTCATGTAATCATGGCACTAGATAAGCTTCCAGTGTGCAATTAGGAGCCCAGATAACAAAAAGGAAGGATGGGGCTCTCTGTGGACTAGTTACATGTTTACCCAACAGGAGGGGCAAGCAGGTCACAGGGGGTCCCACCATCTCTATACTCCCATTGTTAACAGTGGAGCTGGGGTCCTCGGTTCTGCTTCTTCTGCTCTCTCCCCAGACTACAATAAAGGAGGCTGGGTTGATTCCAGGGGGGGGCATATAAACTCTGAGACAGTTTAAGATCACCGTCCAATCTCTTTGTCTTTGGCCAGACCTTAGTGAGAACACTGTGCAGTTCAATTCTGCCATCTAAAAGCATCTTGGCGGAATTTAAACAGAAAACGTGTTGTTTATAAATCAGTAATTGGCAGGAAAGAGTGGGGCAAAGGTTGAATGGTCAAGAAGGAAGCCAGGGAGGGGCAGGTCTTTCTATTTTTACACAGATAGGCAGAAGGGACCACTGGATAAAGCCAAACAGATTCCTGATGGTGAAAGTAAACCTGTAAGATTGATCCATTTAGACCCTGAATTCCTAAAGTGAATGAATTCATGGCAGTAGTTTCTTTGAAGATCTATAAAAGATACTATCTCACATACTGATGAATTAGCCACCCTTGTCTAAGGCCTGTTAGCCTTCTAAAGTCTCACACCGGTTAAGGGTTTTTCTTAACTTGAAAAGCCAGCTGCTCTAGATCATGTCTCCATTGATCCATAGTAATTCTAAGATCAGAGTTTGGAGAGATTTCCACTTAGATTCATTTATCAAAGTACAAAGTTGTCGATCTCAAGGCAAATCTAGGGCCAGAAATTCCATTAATTAAACTCACTTACACCTTCTATTCTTGGGGTATTCTGGTGGCTTTGCTATTTGATGGGAGATTTCCTCCTCCCATTGAGAAGTTGGGGCTGTCCTGCATCCTTGGAGATTTGTAATGCACATAACCAGTGACATAATGGGAACAGGCACACCCACTCAGAGAACCTGTCATTTTTCTAGGTTCCTTGTTGCTAGGACAGACTAACCAATTTGTTTTATGTTATTGTTGCAAAACCCCACATACCAAGTGAAGGAGATGCAGACGACTCAAATCCAAGTTCTGTTGCAACCTTTTACTAATGGGGTGAAACAGGGAAGCACTTCTCACCTGTCATGGGCTTCAAGGGCCTTACACACACACACACACACACAGAGACACTGGGCAACATGAACAACTCCATCTGGTGGGACTCAGTAAGAACTATGTGGGATAAGGAATAGAAAAAGGGTTTTGTAGGCCACATGGGTTCTCTGGGATTAGTGTCAGTATGAGGTCAGTTCTGGTTTCAACAAACAGGACTACACACTCAAACATCTTTTAAGAACAGTTACTTGATTATTACACCAATCTGCCTCCTTTCATGAGGCATATTTAACAATAGAAACTGTAGTTAATGATAATAATGTTCAAAAAAAAAATAGCAATAGTAGCTAATAGTAACAGAATTGTATGACTGTATCATGAACTATGGAAATATCTTCAATTTTATCCTCATTACAGCTCTATCAAGTGGATACTGTCATTGTCCCCATGAATGATGAGGAAAACAATTGGTAGTGAGGTTGGTTCCTTGGGTGTGGGCATGTAGGCAGAAAGAGGCATGGTATAGAGAAATCTGATAGTTGAGACCCTAGAGGCAGAGACCCCTGTAACTGTCCAGCCTCCACTGTCAACACTGCTCAACTCTGACTTAGCTTGTGAAGATTTTGGGTCATGGGCCTGCTTGTTTCAGCAGTCAGTGTTCTCTCCGGACACTGGTTACACGACCCAGCCATGACCAGGGGAACTTGTGTGGTTGCAGGGTAGATTCTTCTAATTACCACAGGCTCAAATCTTTACATTTTTCATAACTCTTATGTTAAGATCCAGTAACTTACACTCTGCCAGCCAGTTTTTGTACTTTCTGCAGGAGTAAATACAAGCTTATTTTTTTTATTGCTGTTGGCTTACAGACTAAAGAGACTTTCACTCATCACTGCCAGAGGGAGCAGGGCAACCTCACAATCTGTTTTCCTCAACATGAAATTTTGGGGGCCAAACTGAGGTTATCTCATAGAAGGAGTAGTAGTTGATGTAACTGTTGCCCAAATGTCAGGAAATTACCCACCCAGGGCTCCAGGTAATGAAATAATGTATATCTAGTCAGTGAGAGAATATTCAGTGGGAGGAGAGGGCTGGGGAAGAACAACAGGAAGAAAGAGAAGTAAACCTCAGGTCTCCGCCTGAGTGCCCCTGGTGGGAGGGCGGGGCCCCCAAATGTGGGAGAGGTACTCCTCAACTCCTCAGACGGCCTGTCACTCCCTCAGGCCTCATACACCCAGCCTTGGGAAGCCTTTTAGGCTTAACCCCTCAGTTTCCAGAGGAACTGCAATCCCAGCAACCTGCACTGTGTGCAAAGAAAAATGGACAATGAAATTCTCCAGCGCTCCTTAACTGCCCCAGGAGTTAAGATCTGCCCTTCACAGGGTAGTGTTTTTTCCTGATAGTGAAGACACACATTTATTCTGTTCTCAGGGCACCTGTCCCCTGACAGATTTTATTGTGTACCATGGTTTTAACCACTTGTAGCCCATACTTCACCCCTTCTCTGCCTGTGGAGGTGCTGCCTACAGAGCCACAGTTATGTGCCCAAACCAAAGAGCTGGTGGAGCAGAGAGGCCAGGGGTGAACCGTCTCGTTGGAGGACCTCGTGGGGGTTGAACCGTTTTGGTCCTTATTCTGCATCACTGTCTCTGCCTCTTCCTGGGGCAGTGCTCTCTCAACTTCTGTTGAAGAAGGACATGAAGAAATAGCCCTATCTACACCCCAGGGGATCCACACACATAGGTGGGTTGTCACTATGGTACTTGGGGACTCCCTTGTGAGGGACCCAGCGAGTCAGTCAGCTAAATTCTTAGTGCCAGTGAAAACTTGATTTACTTTAGTCTTTAAAAATCTTTTAAATGTTGGTACAATAGTAGATTTGTAGTGGTTCTGTGTACTCTTTACCCAGTTCTTCCACATCTATAGCTTTAATACCAAAGGCAGGGCATTGGCATTGCTGTACTGTGTGTGTGTGTGTGCACACGCGCACATAGTTCTAAGCCATTTTATCACATGTGTAGATTCATAGAAACAAGAACCCAATCCTTCAACAGCTATTCCATCACCACAAAGGTCTCCCTATATTATTTCTTTAGAGTTATACTCACCCACTTCTGATGATCATCCCTGCCCCTGGCAACCACCAATCTTTTCTCTATGGCTGTCACTTTGTAATCTTGAAAGAGTTATATGAATGAAATAATATAACACAATTCCATATTTGAGGCTGACTTCTTTTCATTCAGCATTATGCTCTTGAACTCTGTCCAATCTGTTATGTGCATCAGTAACAATTTGCTCGCTCGCTCTCCCTTTTTTTACTACTGAGTAGTATTCCAAGGTCTGGATATACTGTGAGTTGCCCAACCATTCACCTGTGAAGGACATTTGGCTTGTTTCTAGTTTGAAGCTATCACAAACAGAGCTAATATGAGCAACTGTGTGTAGCTTTTTGTGTGAAAAATGTTCATTCATTTCTCTAGAATAGAGATTCAGAGGTACATTTGCTGGATCATATGGTAGGTACAAGTTGATTTTTTTTTTAAAAGAAACTTTCAAACTGTTTTCTAGAGTGCCCATTTGACATTTGTTCCAGTAACACATGAGAGATCCAGTTTCTCTACATTCTTGCCAGCATTTGGTGTTGTCACTACTTTTAATTTTAGTTATTTTAACAGGTGTGTAGCAATATCTCATTGTGGTCTTAATTTGCATTTCACTGATGACTAGTGATACTAAATACCATTTCACATGATTATTTACCAGGTGTATGTATTCTTTGTTAAATGTTTACTTATATAGATTGTCGCTTTTCTATTTATTTATTTATTTTTTTACTGTTGTTTTGAGAGTTCTTTAGTGAATTACAAGTCCTTTACAGAGCATGTGGTGGTTCCTAGTCAGTAGCTTATCTTTCCTCCTCTAAACAGGGTCTTTCACAGAGA